CAACCTCGCCCTCTCCCGCATCAGCATCGTCAACACCACCAGCCCAACTTCTCAAACTCTACCACCAAGCCACAGTCCTGATCATCCAGCTTCTCGAGCGATCAAAACATGGTCCTTTAACTCGACACACTACCACAAAAATTTCCGTCCTGTCCCTTCAATCGCGGACTATCTCCTACGAGCTACAGCTTAAATATCTACAGGGAGAGAAAATTATCTATGATGAGCGGACAGTCGAGGCGCTTCAAAATTATATGCGGGAATTACGTGGGGGTAGAGAGAGGTTGAAGGAAAGGGTTAAGTTAAAGGAGAGGGATTTATGGGGATATGGGGTGGGAAGAGAAGATGATCGAAAGGAGAGGCAAATGCGAGAGATTGCGAGGGTGTTTGGGGAGCTGAGGTTGGAAATGGAGGAAGTCAAGAGAGATGTGGAGAGGTTGAGGGGGAGTTGAATGAATGTACATATATGGAAAGAGAGGGAAGGTCTTACGATTTTACGAATATCATGTTTACAAAAGAACGGAATGAAGCTATGACTTAGACAGATTAGACGAAACTTAGCTTTGTGTTGCTAAAGTTAGAGGAAATAGGAGTGTTGATTTAGATGGGATGAAAAAGAGTCTGGAACACAAGTGCAAGGCTTGGAACATTACCATTAGACAGACGAGTTGGAAAACAAGTTAAAAGAGCAGCACAGCGGCGCATTTTCTAGAGGGAAGATTTTTTTCTTTCTCTTGATGGTATATTGCGCCTATTTCGCGGGACTCGCCTCTAAAAATAATTTCAAGATCTTTTCTATCATGCCATGTTATGTTAAATTTTGCAGTTTGTAATTACATAATCCATCTATGGCTTAACAGCATGAATGGCAGCAGCCAATCTCTTAACATTTGCTGTAGTGATACCAGCGACCGAGATTCTACCATCCTTAGTAGCATATACAGAGTGCTGAAATCATGATTAGCAAAGACGATTTCTATCCTGATAATGTAGAATAAAACTTACCTCCTTAGCCAACTTATCCATTTGCTCAGGAGTCAAACCAGTGTATGCGAACATGCCAATTTGGCTAGTGATGTGAGACCAATCGTGCTTTGAGCCCAAGCTCTCAAGTTCCTTCTTCAACAAAGCTCTCATGGTGATGATACGATCAGCCATTCCCTTGACCTCACCGAGCCATTGCTTGTTCAAAGCCTTGTCGTTGAGGATCGTAGAAGCGATACGGGCACCATGAACGGGAGGGTTGGAGTAGAGAGGACGAACGAGAATCTTGATTTGAGAATCGACACGCTTCTTCTCGTCGGCATCGGCGCAGACTACGGAGAATGCACCGACACGCTCACCGTACAATCCCATGTTCTTGGCGAAAGATTGGGCGAGACATGGGTTGTGGCCTTCCTTGATGAAGTGACGGATGGGGAAAGCATCCTTGTCGGTATCACCGGAAGCAAATCCTTGGTAGGCCATATCGAAGAAAGCATAGTGTCCACTAGCCTTGACAACTTCGCTGATCTCCTTCCATTGCTCAACAGTTGGGTCTACACCAGTTGGGTTGTGCGCACATGCGTGGAGCAAGAAAGCGCTTCCCTTTGGAGCAGCCTTGATGTCTGCAATCATACCCTCGAAATCGAGACCAATTGTATCCTTGTTATAATATCTGTATTTCTCAACCTCGAGACCTGAGTCCTTGAAGACAGCAGCATGGTTTGCCCATGATGGGTTTGGGATGTAGATTTTCTTTGCGCCAGGGTAAAATCGTTGAAGGAAGGCACCTCCAATTCGGAGAGCTCCAGTTCCGGAGATGGATTGTGTGATGACTAGACGGTCGAGAGCACTTGATCCTTCACCGTAGGCAAGGACAGCAGCCGCCTTGGTAAAATCTGGAACACCGGTAATACCGGCATATTCTTTGTTGAGGTTGGCCTTAACGACCTTGTCTTCTGCGGTTCGGACGGAGGGAAGGACGTAGGGTTGACCTGCATCATCTCTGTATGCGCCGACACCTAGAATAAAGTTAGTGTCATTCCATTGAGAGAAATCCAGTATGACAAACCCAAGTTGATCTTCTCCTTGAAGCTATCTGCCTTGAAGGCCTCGGTAATACCTATTTTTTTTTTTTTTGTCAGAATTCAAGTCAGACCAAATAATCCAATTCTGAACTCATACCTAAGATGGCCTGCACACAAACAATCGCACAATTAGAAAACTATCCTTCCATCGAATGGGAGAACTCAACGACTTACATCCTGTAACAAGTTAGTTTAGAGTCTCTAAAGTTGTGCCATTGAAGAAATACATACTGGAGGACCTTGTGGTACATCAGCCCAGGTGGAAGCTTGTCTGATGGCAATGCTACTTCTTGAAGCAACGCCGCGAGTAATTGCTTGCCTGCTGGCTAATCTGAAGGGAGAAAGCATATTGAAGGTTGTCGAGGGAAAGAGAAAGTTGTTTGAGTGAGAGAGGGAAGAACAATTCAAATAAATGAGTCTGACAATTGCTAGGAGAAACAGGCGAGGCCAAGCAAATAATAATACTTTTGTCTTTGAGGACAGCTGCCCCAGAAACTACTTACTACCCACCATTAGTTTCCGATTGGCGTGTGCGTTGTTGTCTGGGGATTGACGGGATTTACAGGCGCCCGCCGGTTTAAATTCGGAATACTTTTTTGATAGAAGATTCGCACGAATGGGAATGAGGAAATGATTTTTTTGAAGATATACTTTGCCCTCGATAAGGTAAATGTAACTCAAGCCCATCTTTAAGCGCCTTTCCAAGCAAAATAACTCACCGTTGCATACAGCTGAGTTCAACATTTTCCATCTCGTGCAACATCCGGAGCCCGTAGGTTTATTCTTGACCCACCAAAACATGATATGCTGCAGTAATATCGGGAAGAATCGTTATCCAGAAATTGGTCTCAGCGCTAAAGAGCTAATAACCTAAATGCTGATTCTGCTTACCTAAACCTAACACTGTTTAACCACTCCTCCGGCCTCTTGCCTCGGCCTTCTTGGAGCTTGAGAAGCAATATCGGCATTGGCAACGACACTTTCTGGACATAATCTCTGGGCGTTGTTTATCATGGCCGGTACCGGGAAAGCAGTTGTACTTGGGATCAGCGGATGTTCGTCTAGTGGTAAGACAACTCTTAGTCGACTTTTGCGTGATATATTCCCAAACACTTTCATCCTGCATGAAGATGACTTCTACCGACCTGAAGAACAGTAAGTTTGAACTTTGCTGTTTGATACTTCATACATCTTCTATCTATGGATCATCTTATTACTCCCAATAAACCCTTGGTGCATCTGAGCTGATGATAGCTAGACTTCCTAAAAAGCATGATCTGGTAGATTGGGACTGTGCTGAAGCTTTGGATGTACCAGAAATGGTCAAATCCCTTGAACATATACGCAAAGAAGGCACATTTCCTGTTAGTGATATATCCTCATTCAATTTTCCCTGTCCAAAGTAAGAAGTTTGACAAAATTTTCATAGCCTAATCTCGATTCCAAAGAAGATCAAAACTCCATTGGAGAATGTCCAGTCCCAGATACAGAGATTGAAGCATTGAAAGCTCAAGTAAAACTATGGACTCAGCCTGGACAGCCAGGTCATGGAATTCTATTAGACACAGATTCTCCTATTCGGCTTTGCGTTTTTGACGGGTTTCTCCTCTACTCCAAGTCTTTGGTCCAAGTTCAATCTCAAATTGATATAAAACTTTTCCTTCGTGTTAGCTATGAAAAAGCAAAAGGTCGAAGGGAAGCCCGCAGTGGCTATGTAACCCTCGAGGGGTTCTGGGAAGACCCACCAGGGTACGTTGACAAAATTGTCTGGCCAAATTATGTTGAGGATCACAAGTGGATGTTCGAAGGTGGTGATGTTGAGGGTCAACTAAAGGAAGATATTGTCAATGATTTGAGTCTGAAATGTCAAGATGGAGGTTTGGATATCGATATGACGACGACACTCAAGTGGGCTGTGGCTACGGTCATAGAGTCCTTGCCTTCTTTTGCACGGGGAGCCTGAACAATCTGGGTGGAGTGGCTACTCGGAGTTGTTTCGATCTTGTGATCACTTCCTGAATATTTGCTTATCGATTAGTAACCTCACTCGGGACATTTCATTTGGCCAAACGAAATTGTTCTTTTGGCGATCTTCTTCAACAAATGCGCTACTGAAGATGAATAGCACCATACATAATATCTTTGTCATTTAGCATTAATATATTGTTCTACACACCATACGCCTCTGAAAACAACAGATAAATCTTAAGTATAAAGACCTCGTTCTAGACCTAGTCTTGGCCATCTCTTTCCTCTCCTCGCCACTCACGCAAAACTCAGCGTTGAGATCTCCACAGCGCATTCGCCAAGGTGTTTGATTCTAGAGAAGTAATATCCACAATCCAACGAGGTCGATAATCTTACCGCTAAAACTCGATGGTATGAACATTGAAAACATTTCTGGAGAATAACAGAAAAAAATCAAAATCACGGAGAAGACTTCTGATAATATTCGTGTAGGCCGAAAATGCAAGTATGAAGTGTGTGCCGCCTACGAGGACTTCTGTCGGAGAAGTGCCAACGAGAAAACTATGCGGCTCAAGTGAGCCGCATTATAGTCCGGGGTCTGAAGACTGTATTTTATTCAGTTTATTCCTACCGATGAACCATTTATTTCAAGCAGGGGATAAGTAGGGATGTTAAAGTAAGTTATTCACTCCATAATAAAAAAACATTCTTCTGGACCCAAATATAATCCTATCCATGCTTCTTAATGATTTTTGACATATAAAATTCAATGTGAATATGGACCGATAACATTTAGGGAGCTAATAATATCCATGGACTCTTCTAACATCGTAACCCCCTGTTCCTGGTTCGATTTGAATCTTACAGCTATTATCATCCAGCTCACTTGATATTCTCTTCCCTCACTGTTCAGTAATCTCCATTGAATACATTACTCATATCAATTATCTTGCCGTTCCAAAATTCAAGCGCGTCTCATCTTGTCCCAATATTCCAACCCTCCACATTACCATAAAACTCAATTGACTTGTAATTAATGCCCTCTCTTCGCTTACTTCTAACTCCAAGCTAACCTTGAATAAGCAAATGTTGGAGACTGGGGGTTTGTTGATCCGCTCCAATTTGTCTGTATCCTCAAACTACCAGCTCAATCTCATCACTCTGGCTCATATTACTTAGAATTTACCTTTCACCTAAAAGTTGGATTTCTAATCCATGCATCTTTAGAGGTGATATGACTGCTTTCTGACTCTGATTATGAGTCTAAGAGGCGATCGTTCGATCTAACAATATGACGAATGAAGTACCCCGTCAATTGAGAGCCATGATGTTCGTCTTTTGGTGCAGGCTAAGTTTGATGCCATTGATGATAGAAGAGCTGTTCGGAAAATCTACTGAGTTCCAGTTGTGAGAGATGGTCTGGTTTGACATTCAGTGAGGTGTCTCCTCCATGCAAGCGAGAGTAAATTTGCGCAAAGGGCTCCCGAAATTTAAATCATATTGATTTTGGCGTTCACTTTGCTACGAACCTGATTACCTAGGAGAATAGATAGTTAACCACCGATCAAAGTATGCGTTCTTCTTCTCCTCTAGCAACGAAACTCGTAGTCATGAAGGTTTGCATATTTCCATTGAACGATAAAACTCAAACAAAGCACAAGTAAGATTTTGCTATACAACAAACCAGACCACCATCTCAAGATTTTAGCAGAGTAAACCCATTATCGTCTTTCGTGTCATGATTTCACCTATCGTCGAAGAATGACTACTAATTAAAGAATGCTAGGTATGAGGAAGTACCATGGCAAGTGATGCCTGCACCAAGTGTGGAAGAGAATGCACAGGTAAAATGGCCACCAAAAAGTCATAAGTATCAGTTCTTTCCAAATTCTCTGACATTTATGATGTTATGCCACTACCATTACCACTACAACCCCCTTTTACTGCACCATTCGCATCATAAGAACTACCTGCGGAGCCCTGCAGAGCGGGGAATCTTGTGGATTTTGGGAGCAGGAAGACAGGACAAGGGGCTAGAATACTGTTAGGAGGATATGGGAAAGGGGAAAGGGATGAGAAAAGGAAAGAATATGGGAAATTGGTTGGGAGTAGATTATTGGGGAAAGCGATGGAGAAGGAATCAGAGCTACAGGATGGGATGTGTTCTTTTATTTTGATTTGTATTGCTCGGTGTTCAATGCGAAATTCTGCAAATCCATTTCCTTGAATATATGGATTCGCCAATGTGGGCATAAATTAGTTCAACAGCCTACTTGATAAGAAGCCCTCTGATAGCTACTCCAGAGGATCAGAATCAATTAACATTCGGATGTTCGTATAACTTGCTATGAATCAAACACAATGTGATCTGTTTATTCATCTCAAAACACCGGCTATTCTTTGATCAATTTTTCGTATGCACGGTTAAGATCTTACTTACTAGATAGTTATAGGCGGTCGACAGTTTGTTATTCTACCCATTCCATCTCCATATTTGAATAGTAAAGAATGGCAGTATGGATGATCCTTGGAGAAAAGATATATGGAAAAGAATCGTGTTGATGAAGAGAATTTGAAAAAGGGGATAAGCGGGACTGAATCGGATGTATATAAGCGGAAACTACCACTAGATTGGAAATTACAAATACCGAGTTTCGGGTACCTGTTTCGTTTCGTCACTATTTTAGGCAAGTTTGTAAGCAGGAATTTTAGCTACCCCGCCATCGTCATTGATGAGCCCCACTACTTCATGATATAAGCATTGATTGAACTCTTCAGAGTGATCTTCTTCCAAGACATATCTATTGCCTTTCTAGCCTTTACTCGATTTGTTTCTAGTAAATCTAAGAAAAATGCCGGAAACCATGCGTGCAGTTGGTATGTACTTTTTGGATGCAATTGGACGCATAGAGGATTAAGCTCTTGCTCCTAGCATATCAACATCCAATACCCACGTATACAAAATCAACACTAACATAACTCCCAGATATCAAAAATGAAAAAGGTCACGCTGATGCCCTCTACATAAATGACTCCACTCCAAAACCTACCGCTTCATCCGGCGAAGCCATCGTAAAAGTGAAAGCTTTCGGGCTTAACCGCATGGATCTCCTCCAACGCGAAGGTCACTATCCTGTTCCACCGCAAGCTCCCGAAACCCTCGGTGTGGAATTCTCCGGTACAATCGAAAGTCTCGGTGCAGATGTCAAAGAAGGGTTTAGTGTTGGAGATGAGGTTTTTGGTTTGGCCTATGGCGGTGCTTACGCGGAGTTTATTGCTGTGAGCACGCATATGCTTTTGAAGAAACCGGATCATTTGAGTTGGGAAGAGGCTGCTGGAATTCCTGAGGTATATTACTATTTGATCCATGTTCTATGGTATAGAAATAATCCACGAGAAAACTAACACGGCCAAAATAGACATGGATAACCGCTACCCAAGCCATGTACTTAGTCGGTGAATTTTCCAAAGGAAAATCCATCCTCTGGCACGCAGGAGCCTCGTCCGTCTCTATAGCTGGTATTCAACTCGCAAAGAACTCTGGCGCGTCAGCGATTTACGCGACAGCCGGTTCGCAAGAAAAGATTGATTTCTGCGTGAATACACTAGGAGCCACTGCAGGCTTCAATTACAAAACGCAAGACTGGGCGAAAGAAATCCTCGCTGCAACTGATGGCAAGGGTGTAGATGTCATAATCGATTTCGTAGGTGCAAACTATTTCCAAGGAAATCTCAACGTAGCGGCGAGAGATGCGAGAATCGTGCAATTGGGAGTGATGAGCGGAACGAAATTACCAAGTGGAGTTGATATTAGTGCGTTTATATTCAAGAGGGTAAGGTTTGAGGGAAGTACTTTGAGGAGTAGAGATGTGGATTATCAGGGTAAATTGAGGGACAAGTTAGAGGAGTATATTCCAAGGTTTCAGGATGGGACGTTTAAGATATTCGTGGATAAGGTTTTCCCTTGGGAGCAGGTGATTGAGGCACATAAGGAGATGGAGAAAAACACTAGTAAGGGTAAAATTATTTGTACGATTTCATAGAGAGGTTGGGATATATTGTATGCTAGGATTTTTTTACGAGAGCTGATAAAACGGCACACGGGTTTGCAAAATTGTTTCTGAGCATTTTCGATGGTCAATTGAAACCCTTCCTATTCAAGAACAAACTAACTCATAAATGAACCGTTGCATGGCTTCAATATGTTCACCGCCAAAATTCACACTTTTCACCAAGGTATTTCTTTTACTCTCACGGTATAAGCAGGAATATCTTTACTATTGCAAATACATTATACCAAGTCCAGAACCTTAATATACCCAGGGCCCGTGTTTCCCCCTTCCAATAATAGCAGCGTGCGTCGAAATATCCTATCTAAATTTATTTAAGGACCTCAATTGAAAAAGAATAACTACTGTAATCTTACAATCTCGGAAAACAAAGCTGCCTGGCCGTCATGTTATGAATGCTAAGTAAACTCTCCGTATAGCATAATCAGAAACCATCAGACGTAATTATTCAAATCAAATCCCATGGGTTCCTTTGGGATAGGAACGGAATGTTAGAGGAAGATTTTTAGTTTATTAGAGGGTGGATGATGCGAGAGCTTTTTTTTTTTTTTTTACTAGGAGGAGATTGTGTTTGGGTTAGTGTGGAAGTATGTGACTTTACTCGGGAGGTAGTAGTGTGAGAACTAAGAGATCTATTGATGTCTACACTATTATACACAGCTGTTTTAGTTTTTTGTTAGAAAAGTTTTCAACAATGTGCATCTGTCATCACAAATGGAGCCATATTTGTATATGTTGCTGCTAGTTTCTCGCGTCAGAGGCTTTACATACTCTGGAGAGAAAAATGTATCTTCAATCTCAAATTTCGTCGCTTGTATTGTTGTGATGTAATCATGATGACTGCAGGCTCAGAAAATTAAAGGAAGGAGTTAGTATATAATCGTGAGTTGAGGTACTGAGCGAAACTAATTTATAGCCATGATTTCTTCAAGCATTTGCTCAACTGTCCAAGGCGATGCTCGTCGAGTCTCCAAATAATAGTAAGCTGAAGTGATATGCAATATCATCAATCGGCTAGACTTATTACTAGATTCTTCGCCGTCTATTGCCAGTCTGATTCGCTGTTCCAAAGACTGTTTTATGATGTGTATCAGAGTTTTGAGTAATATTTCTTCTTGTTTGGCTTTGTGACGGTGGACAATGATCTTCGCTTCAGATCTGTTGAAGCCAACATCATTATACCCTTCTATTATGGTGTTTCGTCCAACATATAACGCCCAAAATGCTGGTAAGATTACTATTTCGAGTATTTCGGCTGGTATGGTGAATTATTGTGGAAAAACGAAAGTGCTGCGTCCAGGAATTCCAAACTCTCGGCTAAAGGAACTAAGTTATGTGACGAAATGCTTTGCACTGGGTTATCATATTAAATTGACTCATCTCAGCCTCAAAGAATATACACCGCCTCTGATGATATGTACTAGCTGTGGGAGTATCCGGGCAGGTTTGCACTTAAGAGACTTGGCAATGCCAGCATAAATCCCCTGCTTCCAATGCCTTTTCGATCTTGCCATTCAAAGCTTGCAAGCACATGGTCTACTTTAGCTGGGACATCTGGCCAACATCAGTAATGACTGGAAAGAAGAGTGTATTAGAGGGAGGAAAGGTTGTTAGTTGGGGATGTGGTTTTAGGGGTGAGATAATGAACATGTGGTAGAAAAGATTAATGAGAATATTGAGAGAATACGGAAAGAAATCAACTCACAAAGAGCATCCAGTAAATTAAAATGTATTATCATTCTGGAACATGGAAAGCTATGATGTTTCCAGTGTTTTCAGTGCAAAATCAAGAAATAGTGAGAAACTAAAATGTAGAATTGGGATACTTCGTAACGCAGACTTCTGGCATTCGATGAGTTGATAGGACCAGATGTCCAATAACTTTTGTTTCTTGTGAATATAGTCCCATAAGGTTATATTCAATCATACAGGAGAGAAGATGTCTTCATTGTACCTGGGCTCACTAAGCAAGTAGCAACACGAAGGGGTAATGCTGCCCTATCAGTTTAGCATCATGATGATATCGACGTGTTCCGTTAATCTACCATACGCGACTATAGTTCAGGCCAATTCTATACGAAGAAAGAAGTCTCAAAGAACAGCTGAGCAGCAGGCTTTTCCAGTAAGTGCATCCGAGTATTCACATCCCTTTTCGCGGGTTTGTGGTGTGTGTCGGCTTAATCTCGGATCGGATTTGTTCTAAGATTTATCGCCGCCAAGATCAAACTTATTCTCTTAGACCTCACCTCACTCTCCATTTGAACGGAAGCTCACACACATCATTCAACACACAGGGCTTTAGCAATCTTCCTGAATCCATTTGCTAGTATTAATCATCGCAATTGTAATATCAACGCTTTTGTGAAATAATCAGCTAGAATCTCACGTCTAGCAACGGTTTACTTATTTTCTCCCTGGCCTCCACCATGCCTCTCATTCATCATCGGCTCAGAGCCGAATTCATCAGCAACTAGGAAACATCGCAACTTTAAAGTCAGCGATTTTCGGGAAAATTCGCCATGCTCCATCACCCATCCTACCCCGTCAACTATGATTATGCATTGCCCAGCACATCGAGATCGCAACAAAGCTATTCTGCAGATGGTTTTCTGCTATCAAGCCATACTTCCGCTGGTGCCCATACACGCCCCTGGTGGTAGTCCTTTCCATCATCAGTCCCGTAGACCATCAAGCATGGATGCAGGATTATACTAATAGGTCTTCCTTTGAGCTGATCCGCGTGGCTCCCATAGTCTACCGAAGAATGGGCAGTCATATCCTTGCTATTGGGATGAAACAGTAGGCGACTTCCCATGCCATCGTGTAAAGTATAACACACCAGTTTTGTTCTTCTTGTCCACAAATTGTACGAAATAATTGCTGCCTCTCGGTAGATGGAAAAAATATTTTCTCGGAGTTGATCGTCTTCGATGAGATGTTTTGCTGCACCGTGTAGAAAGTTCAAAGCTTGTCGATATGCCTCATTTTCAATCATATATTCAGTCCTGGCATGCATCTTCCTTCCCCCTTCCGAAGTCCCAGTTTTCATCGGAGGCAAAAAGAGTCTCAAAGTGTGGGATCGCCAGACATGGGTATCCTCTTCGTCTGCTATCAAAGGAATCAGTCTATTGTTAACCAGAAGTTAATTTTCTCTTCACTTACAGGCGAGACCCTGCCTATAGGTTTCTTCTAACCCTTGACGGAATAACGTTTTCTCATATCCCCCTCCTAAATCCACGATCCCAAGAAAGAAAAAAGGATCCCGAAAGATGGTTGTGTAAATATCATGGGCGAGAAGTGCGCTTAGAAGTAGAGCTGGAACCTTTCTTGAAGACAATCCTTGAGGGAGTTCACCATGCTCAAAGACAACCACATGTTCCAACGCATTTCTTAGCCGACGCTTATCAAGTGATTTCAGAACAGCGTCCATATCATTTGATGATACTTTCTTCGCCCAGCTTCTCATGTCTCTCTTCAGCCTACCAAGGTCTTCCATAACTTTGCTATCCTCGACGGGCGCCCAACGCGAGCCTGCCATGTGGCTGAACGTCGTTTCTTGTTGCTTTAAGATGAAGGTGTTGTGTTTTTCTTCAATAGCCTGTTTTTCAAAATCGAGTTCTTGCTTTTCGGATTCGAGCGCCAGCTTATGAGACTTGAGTTCCTGCTTTTCAGACTCGAGTTGTTCAATTTTAGCTCGTAATGCGCGAGCTACGTCTTCCGAATCTTCAATACGATGCTGATCTTCTCTCACACGACGTTCAGACTGCCTCTCTCTCGCCAAGTGAGTTTGATTATTGTTTTCCAGTTGGCCATCAAATTCTCCTTTCAATTTGATGGCTTCGTCTGCTTCTTTCGCGCCTGAGACACATTTCTGCCTATCATCGTTTGCGTGAGGCTGCTGGTCTGCATTGTTTAAATTGCGATATAGTTGGGGCTGTCTCCTTTCATTTGAAATTATGGCGGATGTATTGGTTATGAGGTTAGAGAAACGAGTACGAATCGTGCCTGTCAAAGAGAACGGCTCTCCTTAATGAAGAATAAAATTAGTCGTATTTCCTCAAGTAATATGTGATCACATACCTTGGTCGGTGCGTTGCTCATTTCTTTGTATTCTATGCGTAGTCTTTCGCATCCGTACTGAAAGCTCTTCCTCCTCGTGTCCTTGAGTCTTGGGATCAAGAGAAGGTTGCTGAATGTCCATAGAAACTCTTTGTGCCATCGAAAACGACTCAGGCTCGGCCTGAATACTACCTATTGCAGCCAATGATGATTTTGGCCGAGCGCTTCTTTGAAGTATTTGACTTTGACACTCGCGTCCTTGGTGTAAATGGTCTCGATCTTTCAAACTAACGGAGTTCATTTTTGGTTGTAGTTGGTTAGCTCTCCATGAAAATTGCAGTTGCTATCTCAATGGAAATGAACATCACAAGCCGAAAGTGAACTTCAGGTACGAAGGGTGCTGGTATGCTTCTATTGCCTCCATTCCGTGATGCGGCAGGGGTTTGCGAAGATTATCTGCGTGAGATATACACATATGTATCAGCCAAGTTGCGAGAACAAATGACTGATCTGACATTCGCAAACACTCCAATACAATGCTGGGTAACTTTACCTGCTGTATGGTCAGAGGAGGCAAAATGTGCTACTTTAAAGGCTGCCAAGAATGCCGGGTTTGGTATGAGGAAAGGAGACGAAATTTTCACGATTGCCGAGCCAGAAGCCGCAGCAATTGCGACGTTGAAGGAATACTCCAAATTAGGTGCCATGAATCCAATCTTGGTAAGTTCGAATGTACCTACATTGACGGAAGACACTAAAGAACCTAGTGTAATGAGAACATATTGATATGTGATTGCGGTGGTGGGACAATTGACATCACGACATATAAGATCATTCAGGTGCAGCCATTCCTGACTTTTGACGAACTATATGTTGGTATTGATTAGTTGCATTCAGGCTTTACTCAAACATTCGGGGAGTGAATTTTTGACTTTCTATATAGGTGGAAAATGCGGCTCAACGTACATCGATAGGAATTTTCATTCTCTGCTCTCCAAACGATTTGGATCGGCATTTGATGATCTGCCATTTGGCCAAACGGGTCCAGGCAGTAGGTTTATGGCGGCTTTCGAAGCATTGAAACGAGACTTTGGACGTAACGATGAGAGAGAAGTAGGGGAGGTGGGCCCTCTCAACCTTGGTATCTCCGATTGCGAATATTATGATGAGGAGGATCGAATTGTCTTGCTCACATAGTAAAGTCTCTCTTCCTGTAAAATGGCGAATTACTGATCGGTTCTTAGCAAGGATATGCAAGCCCTTTTCGATCCCGTGGTCGCGGAAATTACGAACTTGATAAAACAGCAAGTGAAGGCGGCAAAGGACACTCAGAATGCGAAAATAAACGTATGTTTTAATCCTATCAACTCATTTAAGATATCGCACGAAGCTCTACTGAAATTCAAGATGTCTTAGCGTCTCATCCTAGTCGGTGGTTTTGGAGAATCGTCATACCTCAATAAAAAGTTGAAGACATGGTGCAAGCGAAATGGGAACATAACTTTAATATGCCCTTTGCATCCGTGAGCAGCAACCCAGGAAAAGTTCTGTTGCTCTGATCATATGCTGACCTCTAAAGACAATCTGCTGTTGTGCATGGAGCTGCCTTACGTGGGTTAGAAGGAATTTCACCACAAATAAAGCAACTGCGTCGTCATTACGGTATCTGCTTAGGAATGCCTTTCCGATAAGGTATAGATCCAGAGGAAAGCTCTTTCCTTGATACATGGGACAATTCGAAGAGATGCAGGGGACGAATGTGGTGGTTAATTTCCAAGGTAAGTCTCTCAAGAAGCCACAGTTGCGTTACCATATCTAATTTTACTGACTAATAAAAACACGCCAGGGGGACGATATTAAAAAAGGTACCTCCAGAATTCTTGACTGCTTTCAGGTGTACACACCTCAGACAGATACAGTATTGGCAAGTACATTGTATCAATGTGTATTGGCAGAACCTCCCGAATATGTTTCTGATACTGGTGTGATATTAATCATTTCAAATGGAAAAAGAACCTCAAGCTAATGTTTCATAGGAGTCGAAATAGTTGGGAGTATTCGATCACATCTAGGCGGTAACTTCGATTTCGGTGAAAATATCGAACAGCAATACAATGCTCAACTCGGTCGCCAGGTGCAGGCGATTAGTCTTCAGCAACAAATCCTGTTCGGTAATAAGGGTGATAATCTCACATTCAGTTGTCTTATTGGCGGAAAGGAGATATGCAAGTCAGACATGAGTTTCGATCGTTGAAGTGACGGACAGTAGTCGATGACTCAAAAGTCTTATATTTTTGCTTCTGGGAACATCTGTTCTTCTTTCCTTTCTGTGCTCTTGTTTTCTTTTCTTGAAAAAAGCCCAACAAAACTTGTGCCCAGAATCCGGGTTATTATTTCAGTCCGTTTTAAAACGGCTGATTTCTTCAAATATGATGGCGGATAACTAGTATTGCTTTTACTTTCGCAAAATGAAAATAATCTTTTCAATCAAACCTGATACCTCTGGATAGTGAAGAAGACTTAATTCAGACATTGACGTTCCAGCAGGTGAAATGGAAAATAGAGCCAGCAGAACTAAATAGTAAGTTGTCCACAATACATGTCCCAGCATTGGTCAAATCGTCATTGTATATTATCCGATATTTCTCCTTACTCTTAAGAAGCTCGGCGCAGCAATCTAACTTACTATTCCATATCGATCTTCACCCATAAAACCTCCTCACTACAATCTCCCATTATAATTCTCACCCCAATCAAACGCCCAATACCATGAAATTCCCCAGAACCCTCCCAACCATTTTCTAAATCAATATATCAACCACCAATTTCTTTCTCAGTAAATAGAATCAACAGCCATCTCTAAAAACTTCCCCGAATCTATAATACGTCTGGGTAGATTTTCCCAAAATACTTCAAACCATTTTACAACTCAAATATATCAACTACTAGTCTGTCTATCTCTCAACAAAGAGCATTAACAGCTACCTACCTACCTATCTATCTATCTCTGAAAAAAATTTCACGAATCTAATCTCACAAACTAGTCATCTTCCGACAATTAAACTATTTATTTACTCATCCACTCCATAACAATAAATATAATAATAATAAAATATATTTACAATTACAATTATAATAATCTTAAAAAACACCCTAATGTTAAATAGACTTTAAATAAATAAAATCAAAACCACAGGAATTTGAAGAAGTCATTTATAGTTATAAAAATAAAGTAAAGTGAAGTGAAGTTATCCGCGTAATCTAAAGGGATTATGTATACAACTGATGTTCCCTCGTTAATTTTTAACGATTAGGGGTATTGATTCATCATTATTTCATCAAGAGTGATTAACATATAAAATTAAGATCTTACAAGGTCTCACATAATTAGTTACCTTGCAATTGATCTCCAAGCTTAAACACAGTAGTCTAGACATTTCACCTAGACATTTCACCTAGACATTTCACCTAGACATTTCACCCTAGATTACATCAAAAAAAGCTATGAAAAGTTTTCTATTACCTATATACCTAAACTAATAATAAATACCAACCATACAAACAACTAATTACATTTTTTATTTATTTTTTTATAAAATTTATATCTACGCCCCCAAATTTTCTTCCTCCTATGTATTATAATCCCCCCCTAGAACGCTCATTGGAAAAAAACTGTTTTTTGGGTATTTTTAAATCACTACATCATAACTACGGGTGTATCCTAACTTCTGTCTTCCTTCTTTCGATATCCATCATTCATCACCTGAGATTTTTGAACTATAAAAGTAAAGAAAAACGCCGAACCGATCATACTTCCAATACAGAGCCAGGTCTGCCTGCAGCTGGAAGTCAGTGAAAAAAAAAATACCAAGTTCAATCCCCACTAAAAGCTAGTCAGTGTGAAATTCTTCCACGTTAGAACTATACCTTCTAGAAATCTCCTCATATAGATCGTTGAAACAGAAATATACGTCGCTTCCGAAACTCCTCGTCCATTCGTGCGTCATGACTGTTTGTTAAATCGCTCAATCTGTGCAGCGTGAAAGGCTCTCTGGTGCTTTCTACTCAGCTCCGCTCCCCGGTAATCCTAGCAGTAACAAATAAGTAAAGCAAAAGTCTCTTTAGAATGTGGATAACCAGCTCTCAGAAACTATTACCTTTGCTTTTCTACCATTCAGACTCGATCACACCACTAGATGAAACAATTATAATTACCAACTTGTATCCCGGAGTTTACTTGCCCAATATTTGCCATATTATAAGTATTCCCATAAGAGTTGCCACTATCTCCTTGACCTGAATTTCTACTCAAAGGTTCAGTAAACATATCTTGCGCTAGCCTTGCTGCATGAAGATCAGAAAGAGGCCAAGTCTGCGGGGCAAAATTATGAGAAGATTTCTCTGCCAATCTGCTTGCCTCTTGGGCGAGGTTCTGTGGTGTGTCTTCGTGACACTCCAATTTGCGCTGCAAAATTAGGGCGTCGTCATATAACCATGAGTACAATTGATCACTGGGGCCGACAAGACTTATCCACGCGGTTAACACATCCCATTCTCCGGCCTGCTTGAGCAATCCTTTGATGACATTTGTCAACGACCATTGTGAAATGTCAAGTCTTTGCTTTTCGTAGTGTTCGGCAATGTGGTCGAGTCTCGCTATCCAATGTTAGCAATGAAGATCCTTAATAGTCTTTTATTTATCGTCATGCATGATTTCGAGCGACCTATGCCGCGCCGGAAAACTAAAACTGACAGAGTACGAAGAGATTTGTATTTGGAGACTTACCATCCCAAGTAAAAAAGCAATCACCGCAGAATCCGCAGCCCCAAGCCTTTTTTTCTGTTTGATCTTGATGCCAAGCTTCCCAGCCTGTGAAACCTTCCGATAAATTATGGTGTTTCTTCAAATGATCCCTCAACTTGTCTTTTCTAGGGTGGCACCTTTTAGCCAGAGGTTTTCCCCAGCAGTTTTGGAATCGATGTTGATTAGAAATGTGGCTTACCATCTCCTCACGATCGCTGTTAGCATAATTGCATAGCATGCAGGACCAAGCATTGAGTACCTGGGTATACGTGATTGGCTCTTCTAGCATGCAGTACCACAACTTCTGTTGATCACACTTTGTCTGTTCATGCCTTTTCCAGTCGCCTTTGGCACCTTTGCGTTCAAATGTCTGCCTACAAATTGTGCAACTGTACTTGATAGCCCTTTGAGGTATATCTGGTGATGGTTCCACGTACGGATTTGTACCAGATTTGCGCCTCAATGTAGTGAATGGTCGTGGGATAGATTCCAGGTTGTGGTGTCGAGTGGTGAACTGGTTTTTGTGGAGATCACTAGGCAAATTGTATTGCGAATTAGACATCGAGGTACTATTTGCTTGATTTATGCCTTGGTAAGTCTGATAATTCTGACATGATTCCAGTGGACCTGCTGCCTGATCCTCGCCCATAGAAAAAAAGTTTGGAGTGATGCCCCACTGGAAATGATGGCATGGCTGCTCAAGCGGAGGCCAATTCCCCAGACCGGAAATGTCTTCGATGTTTTGCATGTCGTTTTCAAATGGGTGAAGACTCGAATTTGGCAAATTAACATTGCCAAGACCATAATCATTGCTTTCAGAACCATACAGGCCAACTTCAGGAATCGGCGCTACGTCTCCAGGTGGAATTTCAATATTAAGACCTGGTATAGAATTTTAGAAAAGTTTTCCCTGCCAGAGGTAAAAATGTGCTACTTACGAGTACTTTCTTGATTTGTCCACCAATGATTGATTTGCTCTTCTTCTAGACCTGTTACGCCCATGAGAAAGTTCATTTTGTTATTCTGAGGTCTGCCTAGATGATTCTGTACCCATGAAATCAAGGTAGATTCCTGAGTTTCTGTCAATGGTAACATATTTGATAATAGTTAGCCGAGCGATAGGGAGGCTTGTGTATTTTGCAATGGGCGATAGGAAAACACACACGGAAAGCCGGGCCTAAACAAAATGAAGAATGATAGGGATCTCGAAAGTCGGAAGTCCAGGAATCTTTTCCTGTCACTCGTGATCCTTTGCCACCGGGTATTTATGGTAATGATTGTGTACCTTTATGCTGTAGTCCATGCATGGTGTTCGCAGGGCAAAATCATGGGGCTAACGTGGAGTCTTAAAAGAATGCGCCCATTTCAAGGAATTCTCCCTGCCCAAATGTTCGCTTGTGTGGATAACGATGCACGTCAATGATGGCAACGATAAGCTGAAATCCGGCGGTCAAAGTGTTTTGTGTGGGTTGTGCTCCGCTGGCTTGTGGCTGTGACCGGTCGTGGCTGATCGTGGCCGGTTCTGACAGGCCGAAACACGATAAGCTTCTAGAACTGTGCGGCGAAAGCGATATTCTAACACTTCATTCACTCGTTTTGAGACGTTAATCTGTGACGGAAAAAAAGCTTGAAACCATGTTGTTGAAGATACACGTCGTCTGATTGAAGGATTTTCTTTGGTGACTTGGGGGGAAATGACAGCGAATTGCGGCTCTAATTTCATCGATCAAGCCAAGACGACAGAAAATCATGACAACAAAGAGCATGTCTGTGTATGAGTCGACAGGACATGATGTTCAAAAATCAAAAATCTTTTCACTTCGATCAAAAAACAAGCCCAGGTATTCGGTAGTGCCATCGACTTAGGAATCTGATTATGGAGAACGTTCGCCCTGCTGGTTGTGCAGACGGGAAAAGCCGAGAGATCCAGTGTTGATACGTCAATTGCGAGGGAGATGTGAGATGGTCGGAAAATACAACAGAAAATAAAGTTATTACGCACTGGCCAGTTGAACGTCTAAGCCTAATTAGGCGACACACCAGCAGAATTCCACGATAAGGCTACTTTTTGGATCAATCTAGACTACCCAGGTAGGTAGTTTGTTGAGCCCTAAATGGGTTAGGTGGTGACCTAATTAAGTAAGACCGTTTATTTGACCGTTGAGTTCGCTCACTTGGCTTGTGAATTCTTCTAAAATCAGAAATATTAGACGACGTGAATGATTTTGCCAAGTCAGATCATCACCAATGATCCGCCTTAGAAGTGCACGTCATAGCACCTTCTGATCCAGTGCCGCCCTCAATTTCGCTATTTCCACTACTTCGGGTTGTCATGTTGAACGTGGTTGAGCACAACTCAATTGGCACGCTGTGATGCGGTTAGAGAATTTATGCTGCTAAAGGTTCAAGATGTTGTGAGTCTTAGATTTGCGGCCCTCTAGCACTAGCGCTGATCCCTCTTTGCCTTTTTGCGGCATGAGATCTCGGCACCGCACCACCTGTCATATTTGCAATCGACGTATTTTCTGGAAATCTTTCATCTAGTTCCGGGTAGCCATATCCGTTCATAGACAGGGTTCAATCCTAAAAGAATGAGAGGCCCTCAAAGTCGCTCTGGTATTTTACATCTTTGTCCAGACATAGTCTTTCTCGACGTGTCCACAGATGAGGAATACATGGCAAAGAGTTCATGAATCTAGGAAGGTGTTCCGCTGCATGCAAGTCATTCCCTGAGCTATCCGATAAACTCAAGCACCGCGGCACATTTCGGGGTACGTACCGGGCCACCAATCGTGCCCTAGAAATAGTCCCTCTTCCCGAACACCCGTCTGAATTCGGGTAAAAGTCACATGGATCCAGGGCTTGGGATCATGTGTGTGTTCTTGATTGATCAGCCCGGATTATGGATATATCCTAATTTAGACGATCGCATGCAGCTCTAATTCAAACATTGGTATATCCGGAGTAGGAGACTGCTGCATGAACTAGACCCATTTTTTGTGTATTTCGGAGAGAAAGGAAAGCCACAGACACCTTCACAGGTTAATCAGATGTTAGCGAATGAGAGTTAGAGGCGAGGTGAAACTTCCCGACTATGAGCTTGGAGGATAAGTTGATAATTCCAATCGTCGAAGATGTGGAGCCCTACCCGAGAGAATAGGTAACAGACGTTTCAGGGGTGAGGTCGTACAGATAACCGACTGGTAACGGTGCTCCTGGTGAATAACGATGCCATGGTCTCACAGATCCAAGCCTTGGCATTAGAGGATTCGACCATTGGTGTAGGATAACGCGTTGTGAAATTTAGCGATAGTGCCAAGTATTAGTCATCGTTATTCACAAAGAAATATTCAACTGAGAGGTGTAAGTTAGTTGATGGCTTTCTGAATACAAGCATACTTATTTTATTATATCCTACTAAGACCTACATGAAGGAGCCACTAAAGCCATCTCAAACATCATAAAACTTCTTTCGCTGGAAGATGTACCATTCCCAACTCATGCCTTACCCAATTTCTTCTCCAAGTTCAAAAATTCCAGAACTTGATCGTGAATCGTCGTTTCCAAGTTTCTAAAATCCATTCCAAGCTCCTTCCTAGCCTTCTCGTTGCTGAAATTATATGCATTTTCGATCGGAGCAGTCGATGGATCAGGAGTCTTATCCTTCAATTCTGGGAAATGCTTCCTGATAACTTCGCAAACTTGAGCATATGTGTAAGTGCCACCGGCAATGATAAAATGTTGACCAGCAGCTTCGGCAGATTCATAGGCACGAGCATGAGCCTCTCCCATATCGCAGACATCGACGAAGCCGAAGAAATTGGTGTTTAGGACTGTCTTTTCAGACCCATTTATGAGGTGATAAACATCTGCTGAAGAAGTATTTAAATGGTCGAGGGATGTGACGTTTTGCGCATTTGGCCCATATACCATAGGAGGGCAGACGACTGAAAGATTGAAGTTGGGCTTGTTTTCTTTAATAAAATCCCATGCCGCCTTTTCGGCAAACGCTTTTGATGCACAATAGGAGACTTCGACAGAAGTTTCGGGGTTTGCTGCAACGTCATAGGTGACGGGGTTCCAGTCCTTCTCGCTATATGTATAACCAGGGCGAAGTCCCTTATCCATATCTATGATTGTGGCGAAGGAAGATGTAATTATTATACGCTCTACTTGTGGGGCATTATTTTGAACGGCTTTCAAGATATTTATAGCTGGAATGAGAAGGTCATGTTCGTAATCCTTAACGTCAAAGACAAATGGAGAGGTCGAATGAACCACCTGATGTATGTGAGTGAGTAGCTTCGTAGTTTCTGATATGATTACTTACGCCATCAACACCTTTCACAGCCTCATCGAAGGCTCCTTCTTCGACGATATCTCCGACAACTACACACGAAAGCTGACTGGTATATTTGCTGAAACTTTTCTTTAGAGCTTCCGCTTTATCCGGACTCCGAATAGTAGTTCGAATATTGTAGCCTCGAGACAAAAAGGCATGGAGAATTTGGGCTGCCACGAAACCGTTACTACCAGTAATAAAATTGTCCTGCCCCTTCCAGAGGTTGGATTGTACCACTTTGTTGTGCTCATGTTTGCAAAATGAAGATAATTGATGTTATTGAGTAGAGTTTTAGTAACTGAAAATCACTGAAGCTTGAAAGGTCAAATGTTGATGGTAAGATGTTATGATAAATGAAGTGATAATTGGGATGAGGGGTTCTCCGCGAACGGAAATATCAAAAATGGGTATATTCTTTCACCACCAGCTTCGGTGGCTTTGTTTTGTATGCTAAAATCCATGATTATTCCCATCTCCGATGATGCACAGCAAACGAGAAAAGGAGCTGTTGGCGATGAACGTGATGCCATGCCATATGGTTGCTTTTTGGACAACCCTCTGAACTCACTTCTTCAGTGAACTTATTGGCCCACCAGGCCCATCAGCGTTATAGCTACAGAAAGGCATTCAGGATCGGCAACAACCAGCAAAATAATCCGTTCAAATTATAATTAATTAATGAGAGAACTTTGAATGCGTCCACATTCTGATAATAATTGAACAATAATAAAACGCAATGATACAACGCGGTTTTGCTATTTTACAACCACCTGGTGAACCAAGCAGCCTTGATTACTCATCAGAACACTAGTCTTGTCGCTGCGTGCCTTCTCTACCACAACTATATTCATGATGGCTTCAACAATACACGCTCAAAATTTAGTCCGGCTGCTGAGAATGCGTTCAGTATGTCTCGAAATACTGATCAACTCGCAGAATTAATGACAGTCATCTTGAGTGGCGCGTCTGCACTTCCGCGTGCATTGTGCGAAAAGTCTTCAAGACATTGCGATACCGACCATACATTTCGTCATGTACGAAACCACGATGGCCATTTATTGCCACGAGAGAATTTGTCGGGAAACCATATAACCTGGAGTACTTTGGGCACCTCAAGCAAGACTTGGGAGGTCTATTGTGTGGCCGAATGGGGGAGGTCGGGATTTCAAATGGTGGCCTAAAAATTAACATTTTTGCGATGTCGAAATTGAGTAGATGTCCACAAAATAAGCGACAGTCTAGTATGTGGTCACACATCAGTTACTAGGGCTCTGTATGGTAGGGAACAACGCCTGGTAGACGGAAATCCATCAAAAACGGCGCAGTGGGACAGGCTCAACGGGTGCCCCCAGCTTGGATCGTAACTTATTGATCTGTAGGACCCTGTTTCAAAACTTTCAGACTCCAGTCACTGGAAAACAAAACTCTGTTCTAGAATAAAACACATCTAGGTAGCAAGGCTCCGGGGCAGGTTACTAGTTAATATGCTTGTATAACTGGGAGGGGGAAGATCATTCATCCAGATTGATGTAAGGTGAGTCGTATCGGAGTTCTTCCAGGCATAGTAAATGCATCTCGAACACAATCTCTAGTCATGATCTCTTTCATATTTACGTTTCCCGATTTATTTAGACCAAAAGTCTGGCTAGATTTTCCATGTACTTATTTGGTTAAACAGCCCTGCCTGTACATTATCAGTTTTTTAAGACTCTTTTTCTTTAGTTACATCAGAAATACCAAGAAACTCAGCCATCAACGGGTATGTACTTATCTATGGCCAAATGAAGCTCTGAGGTTGCAAAAGGGGTGTCGAATATACAAGCGTTAATCGGTACTCCACTCAAGCCCTATGGGAGCTGTGACAATTCATCAGACCTTCAAACAATGCTGATGCTGCGGACGCTAGTAAATCACATTTAAACTTTCGCATTTGCGTATTCGGGTTTTTTTTAGCCCCGCTCTTACTGTTCCAGCCAAAACTATTATTCTAATCCCGGCTAAACTTTGCTATACGCAATGCGATGCGATTTGATTGGTTCAACTTTTCCATAAGCTTTGTTCTATTTTGATTTTTGGTATGGAGTGCCAGGTATCGACATCGTGCTTCAACGTTCAACCATCTTTTCACATACTAAACATTATATGCGATAACTATCACGATGAATGTTGTGTCTTTCTATATAACTGAGGGGATTCTTCTCGAGAAAATGAATCTTCCCAACACATCAAGCCATCCTCTCCATCTTTCGTCTAATATTTAAACTCCATTTCAATCGACATCTTTCCGCCTTTCCCCATATTCACATCCTGATAACACAAGAGCCGCAATCATGGTAGCCACAGCGACCCTTGCTTCATGTGCATATTACTGCTATGATCCGGCAATGATGAACGGTGTGATGTTTGCAGCAGCCTTCCTACAAACCACAGCCTTACACATATATCAAATATCGCGATCTAAAACCAAATTTTTCATCCCCATCGTAGTGGGAGGTTTGCGTTAGTCCGCCCTTTTCGTACCAGAGACTAAATTGCCTGTACTAATATCTACCAATAGTCGAAATAATTGGTTATGGATGCCGGGCCATCTCACATTTCGAATCACCAAATTTCTCGGTTATCCCTTTTGCCATCCAATACACCTGTATCCTCGTAGCACCAACCATCATGGCAGCAGCAGTCTACATGTACTACGAACATATAGTCAAAGCAGTAGGAGGCGAATCACAGTCACCAATTCGCCTAAGCAGATTCCAAAAGATCTTTCTCTTTTTCGATTGTTTCTCTGCCTTGATTCTTATCGTTGGTTCTATTCTCCGCCTTATGACTACCATGCCTGTTAGCTGGATTAGACTTGGTAACCGGCTCGTCATGATGGGACTAGGCGAACAACTTGTTTTCCTGCTAATCTTCGTCTTCACGGTCGGGAAATTCCAATACAACATGTCGCGCAATCCTTTCCAACGCCTTTCCACAAGCACGATTCCGAAAGCCTCGGGTGGGGAGATCCCGTATAAGAAACATCTCATTGCTTTATATATCGCTTCTGCTCTGATCGCCGTTCGATCGGTTATTCGTTTGATGGAGAATTTGACCGGTACGACTGGATTTATTCGAAGCCATGAGATGATCTTGATTATTTTCGATGGAATGTTTATGCTCAATATGATGTTCCTCTTTCACTCTATCCATCCTAGTGAGATTTCCGCATGGGAAGCATTCTATGCTAGTAACAGGACTAATTCTTCGCTTCCGTACTTTGCGGGTATGAAGGTTTGGCAGGGGAAGAGATTGACTCGGGTGGATACGATAGAGCTTTTAGAAAAAAAGACATGGACGAGAATAGATTGAGAATGTGGCCGGGTTTATGGTGTTTTTGGTATAGTTTGATTAGATATCCTGGGGTTTGGTCATGGCGATTATGGGGATTCGGAGAGGTGGGTGGGTGGGTTAGCAAGGGAAATTACATCATCATTCATTTTATTTGTTAGAATAAACAGATATAGGTATAGAGTAGAACGAATGAAGCGTATTAAACACTGTTCTATTTTTTTGTTTTCTTTCCTTTTCAAACTCGATTTTCCTTCCAACTCGCATCTCACAAAAATAACTACGTCATAAAGCCTTACAAGTCCCATAGCTTAATTTCCCCTCGTAATCATCATCTAAAAACCCATTCACCTCATCCTTCGCCTCAAAATGTACCCAATGACCCCTATTCTGCACCTCCCTCGTAACCAAATCTTCCGCAAACAACTGCATCCGCTCCAACACACTTCTCATCCTCACAACACTTTCCCAATTCTACTAAATTAAAACTTAAAAGTTGCGCGACATAGCATCTAGGAACCGAGTTTCATCATCGAATTTCTTCTCGGATACCCCCAATTGTCGTCCATATATCGACAACGATAGCAATTTATGGGGCTGCGGTTAATTAATTCAAATTATATGTAAGATTAGGTATGAAGAGGGGTTACCTTATCTTTTTAATTATTGGGGCTACGATTCTTGATTATATAATATGCATAATTGTACAATCGATCGTACTTGCCATATTCCATATTGAGCCTAATAGCGGAAACTGGAGTTATTATCTTATACAATGAGAGAGCCAGTGGAAATATAGGTTGGAGGTTGCTGTGTTGGTGGGGGAGTGCTGTAAGAGGTGGATTAGTTGGCTTTTAGCGAGGTGGGTAGGGAAGGTGCTTAGGGGGAATCTCTTAGCTGTCTATTTTTTAGAATTATATATTTGTGAGAAATGGATTTTTTTGCTTGGGATGTTCGGTTTTTTGGGGATTTTGGGAGTTTGGAAATTGAAGTTTATGGATTTGGGATGAAAGGGGATGGTGTGCGTAGGTGTCCATCCATAGAATCCTCTTCGAAGAAGAATTGGATACATCCAAACCTTTCAAGCGCAACCCTTTTTCCGTTTTTTGCGTGAGCAGGTCTAAGACAGAGGGTGCTCCAGTCACTACGTATGGAAATGCTAAGAATGTAGCGAGGGGGAATCTCGATGGATATTAATTAATGAGTTGAGATCGAAAAAGTCTCCCGTAGTCATGGCATGCGGCGTCGATTTTCTCAAATTTCTCATAGGTGAGCAAGTCCTTAATATCAGTGGTCACATTCTTGAAGATGTGTGCCTCTACATAGTCAGGTTTATCGGTACCTCCATAGTCTAAAAGATCCGGGTCAATAATTCTACGTCCTTTAGAAGCAAAACAAGAAGTTTGATATGATCAATCATAAGATGTGGATGAAACACGATGGAGGAAGACAACGTTGGATTTGAAAGGCTTGGTGTTGAGAGGGTGCTAACATATACGTAGGTTGTGCCGGGAAGAAAGAGTGTCTGTTTTGAAGTTGGAGGGGAATTCTACAGCTATCATTATGAATTTTGGAATTTTGTAAGTAAACGGAAATTATTTTGAGCTAGGGAAGAAAATGAGAAGGAGATGAAAGCAATAGTTTATGTAGTATAGCAAAGGCTGTGTCGCAGTCCGCAACTATTAGGAGTTTCCGTGAGAAAAATAAAAGAGGTCATGAAAGCTTTGCAATTAATGGAAAATATCGAAAATTAAATCGGGAATAATATATGAGGTGCTCTTGCCCTTACGACGTGCCAGTTTTGATAGTTAATCGCTGAATGGGTTTCCATAATACCATAACTTTACACAGCCCGTGCATCCTGAAGACTCACAATTCACTCGCATAAGTCAGAATAGATTTTCCTCAACATTCAGGTCTCGAATCTTGATCAGATATCATGCTATAGTTATCAGAGACTACCTCATCACTAGATGATCTGCCCTCTGGGGGTCCGCGAAGTAATATCTAACCAGAAACTACTGATTATGTCTTTGAGTCTCGATACCGATCATTTATAAGGATGTGGATTCCAATATATGTACTAAGAAGAACATATATTTCAGAAGATCCCACCACTACATGGTGAACGTCAGTATTTCCTTATTATCGATGGGAACAACGTGGAGGATCAATTATCACCTGATGACTTTCCATATGTGAGAGAAATAGGAAACTAATAAATGGTACATTCCCTTACGTTGTTGGCAACAACACGAAGTCCACTAACAAATTTGTTTAGAGCCAGACTCCAACAAAATTTCACACAGGAAGAGAACAATAGAACTGAACGACGTTGGTTCAAGGTACCACGCTGACTCTGCCGACGCAGCAATTGCAATTTGAGTGGAAAGCCCGACACGGACAAAATGGTTTACACTTGTCCGTCTTTCTGGCCTAGAACATTCTCATCTCTCGGTATCAACCTTTTCATCAACAGTGGGACTGTGCCGTTGCTTTTCAAATCGTCTTACCCTTTTAGGCAAGTGAGGCATAAGTGGATCGAGTGCTCTTAATAGAACACCCCTCATGATTCTCGCTGGCGGTAGGACGGATTTGACAATAGAATGGTCATTTTACCCCGCACCAACCAGAAGAGTCGTAGTACGAGTTATGACGTAGAATTGCACAGCAAGGGTAGGCCATCAGGCTATTCCATTTAGTTTATCGTCTTTCTCTTTGTGGTCAGAATTGGCACCAGAGACGGACATCGGACAACTATAGTTTTGTAAGGGCCCTATTAAGCATGCACTAGAATCCTTCGAAGGCTCCACCAAATCGCTAATTATAAAGTAACTGGAGTTACATTTTCATCGTCCGTCTTACGGTGCGTGGTGGATCCATAGGGTAGAGGCTTATTACTGCTTGCTATATATACCAGCGCCTCATCCCACATAATCATTTACAAGCACACAACACTAAATTAATCTCCTGGTGAAGCTATCAGTCGGTTCAAGCATCCTCAATCTAAGAAGATTCCCCAAACATCAGCTCAACATGTCTGCGTACACGCCAGAAGTCAGCGGAAAGTTATACATTACTACCAATACCGATGACAAAACCACCACATTAGTTGACTCCGCGTCTTTCGTCACGAAGCCAGCAGGCCCCGGTATTGCAGTAAGTTATGTTTACTCTGCTGGCCCTACACCCTCATTCACCGACGACACCGATTTTAAAGCACGTCAAGAACTCGTCCAGCAGGATCGAATGCCCTCATTTCCATCCGCCGGTGGCAGCAAAGCTGGACTTTGCACTATCGCACCTAATCCCAATGGAGAGGAGGGATTCATGCATCGTACGAATACACTTGATTATATTTATATCACGAGTGGGGAGACAGAGTACGCAACGACCGACGGGGAGAAAAAGATCTTGAAGAAGGGAGACGTGGTTGTTCAGCGAGCGGGGTGGCATGCTTGGAAGAACACGAGTAAGACGGAGGAGTTGATCCTTTTTGCTGTTGCAATTGGTGCCGAGGGTGCGACTGAAAACTTTATGGAGGTGCTATAGGTATAGGATGGAATTGAGAGAATGTATAGGAATATTACTCGTATTCATGGAAAACGAAAATTAGTTTATTGTGTTTCTATGCATGCTATTACTGTAACACGTGTTGTGGTCACCGCCCTTTTCTGCCTATAAATCTTCTGTCAACTGAACTTTATTTTGTTTGTTGCATGTCTGTAAAATTCTTCAAATTGCACATCTATCTGTCCCAATTGGGACAAAATTTGCTGCGAACTACAACTATTGGGAATAAGAGCATATTCTAGACTTTATCCCCGGTGCATCAGGTCAAGATCATATACTTTTAACATACTGCCGAAAAGGCGGTGTACGCAATATAACATTGGTAAACTCTTGAACTTCCCTCCCTAAACCCTGCCCCTCACTGTCACCCCGCTACACACAACGTCCATCACCAAATCCAAGAAAACGATATCAAGATGGAGAGTTTCGAAGAAATGCAAAGTCGCCATCGCAAAGAGCAAAAGGATTTGCAGGGACGCATAACACAAAAGAAGAAAGGCGCAACGAAGAAGACTCGGAAAGGTGTGAACAGCGAATGCGAGGAATTGGAACGACAATTGAGAGAACGACAAGCTCAAGAAATAGCATCAATGAATGGGGATTCTGTTCCGGATATTGACAATTTTCCCGAGCTTGACGAGGAAGCTTCAGAAACATCGGCAAATGCGGTTGATGCAAGTGAAGTTAACAATATTACCGACTCATTAGAGAAATCTTCGATTGCGGAAACGGTAGAATCTGAAGCAGGACAGCCTAAGAAACGCAATCGACAAAAAGAAAGACTTGCAAGAAGGGCAGCGGAGCAAGAGGCTGCTGTAGAAGAAGCTAGAAAAGAGGCTGCGAATATGCCTGATGAAAAAGAAGTAGAAAGGAAACGAATGCAGGAGGAATTTACTTCGCGAAACTTACATGAGAAACAAATTAGACCCGACGGACATTGTCTCTTCTCTGCCGTAGCCGATCAACTATCACAAGCCGGGATACCTCTTGGAGCCGAGGCGGAAGGATTGAAGGATGATCAGCGATACAAAGTGGTTCGCAAAGCTGCCGCAACATATATTGAGGGACACCCAGATGATTTTGTTCCATTCCTAGATGAGCCTCTCGAGAATTATGTCCATAAAATTAGAGACACTGCGGAATGGGGTGGTCACTTGGAACTTCTCGCTCTGGCAAAAACATACAATGTTGAAATTTGTGTGTTACAAAATGGAGCAACGCAAAAGATTGAGCCTGGGACCGAGAACAAAGCAGAGACAATTTATCTAGCATACTACCGACACGGATTTGGTTTGGGCGAACACTACAATTCACTTCGGAGAGCACCATAAAAGACAAAAAAGCTGAAGGAGCTCAAGTTCACGCCCAAACTCGATTTCTACTCTAATCAGCAGGCGGAATCTATCTAATGCGACCAAACGCTGACCCAATCATTGATTTTACCATCTGAGTCATATCCACCCTTATTGGTCCTCTTGGGATGAAAGTGTGCAATACGCTGAAGGCCATTTTGCTGTGGTGGGCCGAGTTTTTCAACTTCAAGCTCGCAGGTTTCGGTGTATGGCAACAATTCCCCGGGGCGTGACAAATGACCTTCATAAATTCTTGGAGGCATGGCCCATGGCGGACCTCCAATCGATGGAGATTTCGTAGTAGGGAATTCGAGACAGATCAGTCTTCCTTCTGGGGACAGAAGCTCATGATATCGCTTGGACCATGCAGGCCTTAAAACAGGAGGTAATGCACAACCAAACTTTCTCAAGGTTTAGTAATCTTGATCCAAGAAGTTTAAAGAATTACATACCGTGTAATCGTAAATCAGATCAAACTTTTTCTCCCCGCCTACATTTGTCAAGAAATCATCTTTAAAGAAGTCTCCAGCTACCCAGGTAACTTTCCCTTTCTCAACCCCATCTTTTGGTTCATACAAACCCTTGCCATCTTTCTCCTTCTCGGTATCTTTAGCACCTTGCAGACCTGTCTCAGAAATATCCAGCCCATAAGCATCGTAGCCCATAGCACTCAATAGCAGGACATCATATCCCCTTCCACATCCAGCAACTAAAGCTTTCTTCCTTGAGCCATCAGCTTTCTTCGAGACAAGATCTTCCCGCTCATTTAGTATATCAATGAGTGCCGGATTAGGTGATTCGTTATCCCATGGAGTGACCTTGTCTTTCCAGAGCTGATCCCATTTCTCACCATGCTGAGCCGTATCATAACCCTCGAATTGGGCTTTGAGGCGAGCACGTGTTTCTAGATTGTTCAGTACCATTTTTGAATATTTGATGGATGAACTTGACTAACCTGATAAACTGAGATCCGAAGTCATGTTGATACCTTTTTTCACCTTGGACTTCTTCCTCGTCAGTTGTTCAAAGGTATCAAAGTCTTATCTGCTGAAAATTTCAGATTTGTACTGATGAGTTTCCCCTCTGTGCTTTAGATATAAAATATACCAAATCTTCCAGAGATGAGGTACCTACCTAGGAGGAAATTGGACGGGTATATATAGGTTGTGCTTTAGTTCTATAGTCGTAATTGAGTGATTTCATCTGTTTCAAATGATTACTTTAGTCTAGTGGATCTAGGTCTTCAACGGATGTAAAATATTGTGTGGATGGATCTAGGGATTTCCACGGTTGTAGAGCGGATGTAGATTATAACAGATGTGGATTTTCGAAACCTTAAATGATTACTAATATCTAAACTTGAAGTTATCATTTCTCCAGGAATCCGGAACTTTATTGGATGTGGCCAGATTCAGAGGCACATCTGAAGATCCCTGCATCGGCTTCGTTCTTCAACTATTTTCTATTTATTTCATCAATATTCCTGTTTAATCCAGCATTCTTTGATTCAGTTACAACTATTTAGATATATTCGTCTCTATATCTATTGTAAAACTGCTCTAATAATTATATTTGTTGTAGAACCAATCCGAAAATTGGAGCGGAAAGACAACTGATATACTCGTATATGGCCCCTATAAGGTATGTGGCAATTGTGGCGCTAAGCGAACAGAGCTTACCCCTGTCCTTAGACTGTAATCAAGCCGAGGCTCAGGAAATTCCGGGTAATTGATATGGTTCCTTGAACCTCCTCATCACAATTACAGCTTACTTCCTCTTCTATCTTCCATGAAATATATCTGCAAACTCTTAAACTAATCAGATTCATTGTTCAATTCAATCCCAAACATTTCAGACTCCACTATCCAATTCGATCACATATACAGGGTGGGACTACAGAAATATAGTAATCATGGATGCCGCAAATCTCTTTAATGTCAAGGTAAGCAGTCAACTTTTGTCTTTGGGCAGTTCATGAACTAATGGAATCTATAGGACAAGGTAGTTCTTGTTACAGGTGGAGCAAAGGGAGTTGGGCGCATGATATCAGAAGGCTTCGTCACGAATGGAGCTAAAGTCTACATCTCATCCCGCGATGCCAAAGCCTGCGAAGAAGCTTGCAAAGAATTGAACGCACTCGGTACCTCGATTTCTCCCAATTTCTCTCTTAGTCAAGCTAATCACTCTTTCCTACAGGCAAAGGTTCCGCACACGCCATTCCAGCTGACTTTTACAAACTCGAAGATTGCAAACGCATGGTGGATGAATTACAAAAGAAAGAAAAGAAATTACATATCTTGGTTAACAATTCTGGAAGCAATTGGGGAGCTCCTTATGCGGAATTTCCGGATGCAGCATGGACAAGAGTCTTGACTCTCAACCTCACCAGAGTTTTTACTCTCACCCAAGCACTCACGCCTCTCATGGAAGCCGCATCTAGCCCCGAAGACCCAGCACGCATCATCAATATTGGTTCCGTTGACGGAATCCGCGTTCCTTCTCTCGAAACTTTCTCATACTCTGCCAGTAAAGCTGGTTTACACCAATTGAGCAGAGTTCTGGCAAATCATCTAGGAAAGAAAAATATTACGAGTAATGTGTTGGCTTGTGGACCATTTGAGAGTAAGATGATGGCAGCTACACTCGAGAACTTCAAAGACGAGATTGTGAGTGGGATTCCACTGGGTAGAATTGGAAGTAAGGAGGATGTGGCAGGGGCTTGTTTGTTTTTGGCGAGTAGAGCGGGCAGTTATGTTAATGGAGCGACAATTGCTTTGGATGGAGGAAGTTTGGTGCAGAGTAAATTGTAAATAGGTGCGGAAGAACCGTGTATACCAATCTATTGTGTGATTTAAATGGAGATAATAGTATAATCCCATACAATTCAAAAGACATGTAACACGACATGAGTTACATTCTCGTCTCATCCGCATTCGAAACAACCAAGCATCATCTTTTATTGTCTAGATTCGATTTCCGAAACAACGTAGATATGCAACAAAATAATCACGGCTACCTACCTAGTACATATTCAAGTGAATAAATACAAAAATAAAACTACCAAGTCGTACCTAGATCATGTTAAGATCTTACCTTGATATCTACATCCTAACTAGGTAGTAGCCTTACAAGTTACAACTAATAGACAATAGGTAACCAATCTTTCCAGCCTCTTATAAAAATACCTATTTATCTCGTATGGGGGCTCCTTTGACGATCAATTATAGTCTGTCTCTCATACCCGAGATGCTCAAGGTTTCTGCATTTGGTATCATCTCATTGTTCTTATGAGGTGGTAGGATAGTATGGGATGGGGTGTTATTTTGTTGTGGGACCTGAGGGGTGTCTCCTTTTTTTTTTTTTAAAAAAAAAAAAAGGAAAGCTTGAGGTTTTTAGATGATGAGACGACAAGCACAAAAAGAAAACTAACAGTGAGGTGGAATTTTTCATTTTTGACAGCGCGCTTGGCAGCTTTGAGAGTAAAGATTTGTTGTTGCAACTAAATATTGAATATTGGGAGATGAACTTGTATGATTTATATATAGAGAGAAGGAGAACGAGGGATATATATGGAGACATGTAGGGTGAGGGGGAGATTTGCTAGTCAGGATTTCTTTTATATGTGTGCTTTTTTCGGGATTGTAACCTAAATGTGGCGCCATGGTTGTTAATTCGCTTTTCTACAGGGAAAGAATTCGTGGCGGAGGTGCTGTGGTTTTATAGATGAGGGAGAGGAGTTTTGTGGGGGAGGGGGGAAATGTGGTGAGGTGAGGTGTCGTCTGGATTCACTTAAAGGTGTAAGGGTTTAGTTGGATATTTGATTGAGTAGAGTGGGGAGGGATAGAGATAGAGATATCGTCGACTCAAGACACTACATGAAGCAGCCGCATAGCGAGGATGTTGACTAGGAATCTGGTGGTACCCGCCACTTGTTTAGGTGATATTCAGTTCAAGTACTTATATTTTTCTAACCCGGATGTTGAAGCTCTGAAAACTCTAATACCTGCCATGTCTTATTATTGGGTTTCTTGAGACTAGAAAGAGCATCAGATTGAATTGATTGATTCTCTAGCTAAGCAGTTAAGCTGCGAGTATATATTCAAAAAATGAAGGAATAGGGTTAGGTATTCGGCCTTCGGAATTAAAGTGCTTTGAAATCAAAATATTGAAAGCAAACAAACAGTATACCAAAAAGGAAAGAATGAATTAAAGGTTGAGTTTTGTTTGCTCCTTATATGCATCATGCAATATATATGCATATGCTGCCAAGATCCCAGGAGGTCAACACATTCACCTCTTTTTTTTTTCAGATTCTCACGACCTAAGAAATACTAGAGCACTCAATTCATATATATATATATAATACCCTAACACACTATAGAAAAACTACTCTCATACGGATCGCAACCCTGTATTCTCTACACTATAAAAAGCGTTGATTTTGGTGCACTCTGGAAGGTATTGAAATATTGAGCTATTGATTCTAGAATGTTATTTCTGTAAACTTTGATATGTATTCACTAACCAAGTCAGGTATTACATATTCCAAATAGACCATTCCACGCAATCTTCTTTTTTATATAAGGTTCGGAGAACTACAGCTTTGATCCATATCACACTGCAAAATAATTCTTTTAATTTTAGGAAACCTCTTTCGAACCTTTTTAAATGCAGAGTTAAAGACTTTGTAGCCTACCTCGGCTTTTTTTCGTAAAGAAGACTTTGGTGTGATATATTGGTCCTTTTTATCATTTTTGCTTTCAAAATTACCCATTTTATTTTTTAATTAAAGGAGTATTGTCGTTTGTTCTAAGTCTTATATTATCTTATTCCATCAACATTTTTGGCTAGAACACCGATCGCAATTAATTATTATTAATCATAAATACCATCACATCTCTTAGATACAGACGCCTTATGTCCTGTTTCCGACCCATTTTCCCTTTCGTCCCAGCATGTTCTGAGTGTGTCCTTGGGATATTTTATAGTGCTAGATGGGTAAATTAAGTGCATGATAAATGCAGAATATTAAGTGGGGTCTGAACGAAGCGGGATTGTTTGATTGGTGCGTTTGTATTGAATGTACTACTCGGGTATTCTTGATCTATATACCTACTTAATAATTCACCTATACCTTTTTTCAGTAATAGTAAGCCGGACTCAATCTCGAAGAAATAAATCCAAGTATATAAACAATCCATAGTTATCTATTTGATAGTTATTCCATGGGCGTTGCAGGCTTTGCGAAAAAAACACTGAATTCAGGAAAAGATACCAGACGCAGCTGTGCGTATTAAAATGAGAAATGTATACATGCTGCTATTTCATCGAAGGATATTTTCGCAGGACTTTAGCCCCTTTTTCAACATTGGATCTTTATTATCGTTTTACTAGAGCTTTATTGCCAAATCAGAAGAGGCTGTTTTATCATCAGGGTATGATATCAATTGAATATGTATAGCTAATATCTAATATCACTACCATGAGTCTTTCATCACTATCATGATCTAAAAATCCAGATAGAACATTTGCTTCCACTCACAGAAGCTCGACAATCTACGCATCTCATTGCGACCTAGTATTTCGTACATACTAACAAGATCTCTATAAACATTACTGAAACATAAGCATCATCATTAACTTTCTTAGACAATTTGAATACTTTTAGTTTCATTGCAAGGCTGGAGAAGTGGTGGTTTTATATTTAGAGGTGATAAATCTAGTGTTACGAAGTAACAGCTGATCTGTCCATACGAGCTCGGACCATTTGGAAAAGCAAGGAGATTCACATACAAAACGTATGGCAATTGACTCATGTGGTCTCCCCACCTTAAGCAAGCACAGACATCGAATCTGATCGAAAACACGTGATCAAGGATTCCCACCGAGCTGAGGAATCCCACTATGGTGGGAAATATTCCCACCTTGATGGGACGATAGAGGGCAGTGGGATGCATAGTACGAAGGTCTATATAATCTAGATGGATTTCCTTTGTATAAAGCTTCGTGCTCAAGATCAATCATTTAGTATACTCTACTATTAGTTACGAATTGCATTGTCATTACGTAAGTCCTTGCTTGACGCCTAGTTATAAACCACCTCGAGAGCCTAGAGCACTTTCACGTGATCTAGACGGCAAACTCGTAACAATACTTCAGATTTTCTTTCTTTTTCTACTTTTTTATATATATTATAAATCTTACCCCTTTTGGAAATTGATTAATATATATATATTTAATTTTCTAGAAAAAAAATAAAATATAAAGTGTTAAAAGGAATAGAAGTTACCGGTACTAGTCACGTGTCGTGATTAGTAATACGGTTACCTAAACAGGCTAGATTAGATGAACCATAAGCAGGCATATTGGTCCCCTCCGAGGATACCAAGAGGAGATCTTAATATGCCTACACACGTAGTAATATAGTCAATATAGAGGCCTCTTCCACCCAATCTTTTAATATAAAGAATATTTTATTAAAAACTAATAATTAACAAAGTAAAACTTCTGTTACGAGTGTCACACTCAAGAATACTGGGTAAAGTATCTTGTATTAGAAAATACTAAGCTAAGGAGAAAAGAAGAAGGAAAACAAGAATAGCGAGTTTTCCTGTGATTAAATACAAACGGGGCATGCCACGTGACCCGAAAGTGTGAGGCGTCACAACGAGATTTGCCGTCTAGATCATGTGGAGGTGCTCTAGGCTCTCGAGGTGGTTTATAACTAGGCGTCAAGCAAGGACTTAAGTAATGACAATGCAATTCGTAACTAATAGTAGAGTATACTAAATGATTGATCTTGAGCACGAAGCTTTATACAAAGGAAACCCATCTAGATTATATAGACCTTCGTACCGATGGCTACTCAGTAGGATCAATGCGGCTCAGTACTGAGCTCACTGATCCTTACTGAGCCAGTCACGTGATATTGATTGCACGTGAGGGTTTCCTGTTACTCGGCGTAACAAGTATATAAAGAAGGAGGAGAAATAATATCCATCAAGACAGGAATTCAAATCATTTCGAAAACTTCAAGCAGTTGAATAGAGGTTTTGTCTTTTTGAGTAACTAAGAATCAATCAAAAACAGAGAGTTTGGTAGAAGCCCGAAGTTTGAAATACTGATATATCTCGAAATCTCGTAGCGGATATAGTTCATGGTAGTGATAATGACGATGGAAATCGAGAAGGATAATCAATGGGCATATTATAAAATGAAACGATGGTGATTATTATCTTATAATAACATTGAAGAGTTAATTTACTCGATGATTTCGAGGTTTCGGCCTTGAAAGTTGAGGAAGCAAAATGTTGGCCCGATTTTATGAGTATAAAAAAGCATCTGGATTATTAGATTCGCTTGTAATTTGAGGGAACTGTGGATATGGATTTTTGAATACTTAAGTTGTATGATCGTGGGTGTGAAAATGGGGGGGTTTTGCTAATTTACAGAACTTGCTGGATGCTATTTGTGGTGGTGATGGTATGCTATACACGTCCTGAAGATTTTATGGAGACGTACTCATAAGAATTCTAGGAAATACTGTAATGACTTAATAGTTTCAAAAGAATCATCTTCTAACGGAAAGACAAAAATGTATGCAATAGAAAACGACCAAACTTCTGTTTAAGCAGAACGAATATGCAAGCAGCTATGCAGTCGCCAATACTAAAAATCCTCCTTTCGCAGCACTTGCCCAGCCTTTCTCAAAACCCGCATTACGAGTACCTAGTAATTTACTCCTGAATTTCAAACCAGCCACTGAGCGACTTCACACCCTAAAGTAGTCCAAGTCCAATCCCTCTAGAGGCTGCTACTAGCAACATCAAAATACAATGATCAAAACTCCTCTTTGCCAAACTTTCAAACATCAAGGAGATCGACCGGATGAAGCCAAGGTTGGACATGGAAGATGTATGTATGTATGCATGATGTAATCGTAATTTAAGTATTCTCCGAGGAAATTAAGATCTGGGATTTTAATTGAAGATAAATAATAAATAATGCGAGCTCTGTAGGTATCGACAGCAAGGAAAATTAATGCGGGGTAGGTATGTAGGTTTGAGGTGATGAAAGTATTGTAGTGGGATGATGGAAGGGGATAACTTCATAAAAAGGTAAGACTTACTAAGTAGCTTGTAATCTGGGCTTACAAGTTTGAAGAGACAAGACTTACAGTTACTCGTAGAAATATATAAAGATATAATAGAAATCATTGTGAGCTTGAATCAGCATCCTCAATAAATCATAGATAGGTATTTGACATAATTCACAGCCACATGATTCGTATGTAACTTGGCATTTTTTAAATCTTAACATAAAAAGAAAGAAATCAAACCAAGATCTTGAGAGTAGTCTGTACAGAAATACTCTGTAATAAATTGTAAGTCAAGTTTCCCAGCCATTTCTTTCGATAATTTTATCGCAATTTCTTATCAACAGAGCCAGTTAGTTGTCATGGAAACCGATTTCTACATTAATTAGTTAATTCTGACTAATATTGAAGGTTACGGACACCATGTCAGATCTTATTATCAAACACTTCCAGATGATACTAAACGCTTATATATACTAAACGGTAAACGTCCCGCTATCATATCCTTGATTGATAAGTTATATTTTAACCAATTAGATTAGATAGGAGATACTTGGTTTATGCTTATTTTTGGCGGATGAAATTCATTTGGATGCGCCCAATTGTCCTGTCCTGAAATAATGTCGATGGCTGTGATGTTGAAAAATTGGGGGTTGGGAACACAACCGTGTACCTGCGTACCTGCGTACTTCAAATTGGATCTGGAAGCAGAAATGGATACTAACTGAGAGATAAAAATTCGAGTCATTTTTCATTTTATTTGTACGATGATATGGAACTGTTGTTAAATTATGAGGGAAGGGTAGTCTTACAAGTGTGTACAGAGATGATGTGAAATGATTGGCTCGATATTGATATTGGTTGTGCCCCTCATTTTCATGGCTCTTGGTAATGGTTGAAGTTTAGGCTTGTACGTACTCTGTCTGTACTTCTTCGGTTTCTTGCATTGCTAGATTCGATGTGAGGTCAGCGTTGGTAGTGAATGGAAGTGGCAAGAGCCTTGTTTTATGGGTGTATGTACTATGTATGTATGCGTTTATCCGCCACAACGGTGCGTGATATGCAATGGTGAGATTTGATGGATGTTGTGAGACTGTTTGTGGGGTTGCTTTGGGTGGGATTGATTGTTTGAGTGAATTGAGGGTTGTAGTCTGGTGTAATAGATTTGCAGAGGAGATAGAGGGTGGAGTAAATTGTTGAGTTACGGGATGAATATTCAATATCAAATCTTTATCTGTTTCAACAACACCTAATAGGTAACTCAATGAATCTTCCGTCAGTAGCTTCGGGCATCATATCGATTCCCACTACTCACTCCATGCGGACGAATGACTTTCTTATTTAGACTTTCCGTACCTAAGATCAGTACCCAATCCACCCCAAAACGTGCCAATCTAATCCACATGTTCCCTAGTAAAAGTGTCAAAGCTCTGTCAAAAGATCGTAGTAGAGTAGTAGCTGGATAGATATTTGAAAGGCGGTAACCTATGGAGTAAGAAGTAGTATTAAATAATAATATTAATATGGATTCGTAACTTTTGTAACCTTTGAAAGAAAAAGAGGCTTTTCTGTAACCTCACACTCTGACTTCTCACCTCACACCTCTCACCCCTTACTTCTTTCTGATCTCTGATTTCTGGCCTCAGATCTTCCTCAACCCTCGAATTCAATACTCGGCCCCAATTGATATACAACACAATACCTACCTACACACTACATACCTGGCCTTGTCTTTCAATCATCCTAAATACCCTCCTTTAGCTTTATCATAAGCCATCTATCACCATCAAACAAAACACGGTAAAACAAACGAATAGAATTCATCAATTATTCAGGTACTGGTCAGCTTCATATTTTAATTGGTCGATAACAATCTATCTTACCCAAAATTCATCACTCCAACTAATTTTTTATTGGGCAGAGTAAACAATCAAAGTTGCATAAAACAAATTCGCCAACGCACAACTTCTCTCCAGCCTATTTCGAAAGGATCAACCCAAAAGATCCAAAAGAACTCCATAATAATAATAATAGAGCTTCGATCAGCTCTTAATTATCCTCGAAAATATCCCGCAGAAGGATCATTGGTTTCTTGGAATTTTTTAAAAAAGCTTTTTAGCTTTTAATTCACTCCTTTTTCCTTTTTTCCTTGACTTAATTCGGGTTACATTTGCAGAGGGAAAAGCCTCAGCTGCATCTTTGGGGCTGAGGACCAAGCATTTGAACCACCATTCGAGAATAATTCAATTCACCTTTTACCCCAATTTTCTTACCGGCATTCTCTGTACATTACACAAACCTATCCAAAAAAGCCGCCCATCCTACCGCTGATGCATCCCTCCGTTCGTTTATTCGATTTGTGAGGAGTTATCATTATGGGTGTCGAATCAAAAAAATCAAGAGCTCCCCCTCTCCCTGCGCCAACGGAAACAAGTACCGCGGACAGTGACGCCGAAAACGAGAACGAAACGACTGAGTTGGGCTCAAGAGTAACGGATAAGAGTGCATACACGATACCGGATGACGGTGCTCCAGTCACCATCGCTACGCGAAAGAAGAAGAAACAGGATAGTCTAAGTAGTTTATCAAACAATAAGTCTCAAACTTCATTGTTGATCGAGTATTTTGAAGGGGGAAAGGAAGACAGAAGTCGAAGACCATCGGTTCGTGTCAAAGTTACACCATCATCGAAACACCGAAGCAAGTCAGCTCATGAGCACATCCAGATTACGGAGTCCAGAAAAGGTGCTAGAAGGCCATCGTATACCCAACGCATTTCATTATCCGATGCCAATAAGGAGAATAGAGGATTGGCGCCAGAAGACGAAGCCAGCATGAGCTCTTTTCGTTCTACAACTGAAGAATCTAACCTCACCTCTAGGAGTGGTGGGAGACCTATCGAGGTTGAGATCATGAGGCATGGAAGTCCGCTGATACCCACCGAGTTAGGATCAAGAAGTGCTCCGTACAATGGTTCCGATATATCATCCATGCCTGCCGATAGTTTCCTCGATGGACATACCAGATCTCTAGAACGAAGACGTAGTCGAAGTTTGACAAGAGATGAAGCTTTGATCGCTGGAACAGCTACCGGATTGGCTGCCAGTGCTGCATCGGAAAAGTCGAGAACTCCATCGCGCCGACGAAGTCGAAGTCTTAGCAGGGAACGAATAGTGGCACAAAAGGCCATGTCAAAGGTTCGCGGTGATCGGTCAGAACATCGACGCAAACAACGAAGGAGTCGTAGTCGAAGTGTCAGTGGTGATAAGCTTACAGAAGGAATCAAGTCGCCACGAAGAAGATCAAGCCGAAGCCAAGCCGAAGAATCTTTAATGTCGGGAGCCGACTCGGGTCTGCTAGATTCACAAGTCAGTCGTAATTCCGACAGAGTTTCGGTCCGATCTGGAGCTTCGAAGAATTCTTCCATCAACAATCCCAAGCTGCTAGAAACCGTCGAGGATGCCATCCGTCGTTTGATCCTACCCGAATTATCAGCATTGAAGAGAGAATCAAGTAAGCGTGCGGAACGTCGAAGTTCTGTAGGAAGTGGTATCTCTAGCATATCGGGAGGACCCAAGGTCACTCTTAATGATGGGGAGGTTCTCTCTGGAAGGAACCGCACTGATCGTGTGAGAGATTCAGACTCACCACGAAGTTTCGATCGAGGCGAATCCGAAGAAACTATTTCACAAAATGACAAGGCGAAAAGGAAGAAGACTCGGGGCCTCGAAACAGCTGCTTTGGGCGCAGGAGTTGGCGCCTTGACTGCGGCTGCTCTACAGAAGCATCAATCACAAGAGTCTGTGATGGATGAAAAGAAAGAGCGACGACGCAGGAGGAAGAATCACAGCCGTGGCAATAGCTTAGGTGGCGAGCTCTCACCCACAGAAGAAAGAAGTGGTCTCGATTTAGCGCCCCCTATGCCACTCATGAGCGCGATCAATGCCTCGGATATTACCAGAACTTCGATCCTGTCGGCTGAATCAGAGAGACCTCATTCCGCTAGCTCGCAGCGTGTTACGCCTGTTCAAGAGGTGGTGGCCCGAAAAGATGTTACTTCTCCAGCTACTCGAACGCCAACTCGGACGCCGATTAATCTACAACACGGCTTAGGTACTCAGCACTCGAACTTCTCACGCGGAAACCTTAGTCTTCATAGTCAAAATAGTGAGCAGCAGTTACCCGGCCAAGAATACGAATTGGATGAGAATGGAAGAAAAGTGCCTATGCGAGAATTTTACGACCCTGATCTTGACGATTCAGCGCTGTCAGAAGAACATAACGGGGGTCACTCTAATACAGTCAGAGCTGGTCTGGCAGGTGCCGCTGCTGGTGCTGGCCTGGCAGCGCTTCATCATGATCAACATGACATCCCCGATGACGAAGATTCTGAATTACTTGAAGCAGAGCCACAACATCCTTACTATCAGAACACTCAAGAGGTACCTCCTCCACTCAGATACGTCCCTTATGGTCACGAGAGACGTGGTTTGAGTCCTATTCAAAGCGTTTCAGGATATACCGAGAACGAAGATGGACCACCTAATCAACGAGACTCTAAGTTAACCGAGAGTACGAGATCATACTCTTCACTGGCAAAAACCGCTCAACACAACCAGTCCATGAAATCGCTTGAATCCATTAATAATAATCACAATCGTCATGACTTTTCAGAAGTTCGAACGGGTGGGCTATCGGATTCTGAGCTCACTCAAGATGGGGATGGACAATATTGGGATGAACAACACCGAGAGAACGATCGAAATCGAGATTTTGACTCCCAACTGAGTCTTGAAAATAAACGACTAACGAACTATACCGATGACAGCCTTGATACTCGAGATGTCTCAACCGGTCAAAATATTAAAGGTGTCGGTGGAAAACCTGACTTTGTCAACACGCCCATAGGAGTCGAATCACATGTTGCTTCGTTGGTTAATGCATCTGAGCTCACTGGCACTAACTCATACCCTGGTAGCAATAGCCAAGTCAATCGCAAAGCTTCTTACGAATCATTTGAAGATGAATCCGAGAGAAACTTCACAAGCCGAGGCAATAGCCCCGTGAAGTCAAAAAATCCTAAAAAATATGTCGAGGAGTATGATCTTGACGAGAATGGAAGAAAGGTTGAGATGCCAAAAACACAAACCAAGGAAAAGCTTGGAGCGGGTGCTCTGGGAGCCGCTGCTGCTGCACTATTGGCAAAGGCACGTGAAAAGATGAATAATAACAATAACGATGCAGACAATATCAAGTATGAGGAACGTAAGGAAGATACTGGAGCACCCTTACAGAAGTCATTCAAGGATCGTACAAATGATGGGCAACGACTTTCTTCCCCTCGCCACAGCGTCGATAATCTCAGTGAAGTTAGTCAAATGACTGATCACCCTAAAATGAGTGCGAGTGGACTCCCAGATATGCATGATCCAATGCCCGAAATTGGCTATGGAGACGATGCATCAGAAGTAACAACAAACCCGTCTATCATTCAAGGACCTATCGGTGGTGCACAACATGGAAGCCGCGATCACTGGCAAAATCATGCCACGCCACCACAAGCCAAGCGTACACAAAGTTCCGCATCTGGCAATGCTCTTCATGAAGCAGAAGCTGCATTGATTGGTGCTGCTACTGGTGCAGGTGCTGCTGCTGCTTTGGCTGGCCACAGCAGAGAAGTTAGTGGAGAGCATGATGATGAGTGGAGAAGAACTTCCGGAGAGCGAAAACGTGATACTCTCATCACAAACCCATACGAAGATACAAGTCCAGTTGCTAATCTTGGTAATGGAACCGGCCTTGATCGGGAACTTTTGAATCAAGCTGGGTTACAAAATGCAAATCGCGCATACAATGATAAGCTTTATGCTGGCAGTCCGAACGGTCTACCCAAGGATGAAGGATATATCTCATCAGCTCCCAATGCTGGTGCTCAGACTCCCGAGCAGCGTCTGAACAAAGGAAAGGGTATCGACTTTATGGATCAAGAATTAGGAAATGCTACAGATGCATTAAATGGTGACCAATTTTATCCCGGTCACTCTCGGCATCTCAGTGGCATGTCACAAGGAATGGGCTCTCCATTATATGACAGTGCAACGGGCAATGGTATTGATCGTATTCAATCGAAGGATATCGTGGCTTTGATGGATCATCTTACTGTTCGTGACGCCCAACGTAGCGCTCGTGACACTGAAATCCTCGTAACCCTTGTTCGAGCCGCTGCCGAAATGAGAAATTCTTTCGAAGACATGAAGAGATTACTTGCTGATACTGAAGATGTTATTATCACCGAAGTACAAGGCAACACAGAAAAGTCGGTTCAAAAAGTCATCAATGGACCACGCCCTCTACCTCAAAGTGCACCTCGATCTATCAGATCAGCGGAGATGTATGAAGATCTTCCTACGAAGCGAAGAAACGTTTTTCGAAGAGCATTGAAAGGTTTAAGCAAGAAGAGCACAAACGATCTTGGAAAGATCGAAGATATGCTTGTTCAATTACTTGGTGATGTTGAAGGTCTTAAAGTTGCTCAAGGTCTTCAGAGTGGTACTTTGGATTATGATGATTTCCCTGAAGGACGTTCTGAACAAGATCGTGGTTACGTACCTGAAGGTAACGCTGGCACTTCCACTGGAAGTCACGCAAGTCAATCTGGCCCTCTTTCCATTCCACTTTCTCAATCTCGTAACACAAACCGAGGCTTTGATGGACGCAAATTCTCGGATCATCGAATTAGTACAGTACCTGAAGGTGATGAGGATGAACTCAGTCCACATGAGGAGGAAATTCTTAATAATCAGTTTGAGAATGATGAAGATGTTCTTACTCCAACTCGTGAGACTTTCCGTGATCGTGGAGAGTCTCTACCATTGGATACACCTCCTCAACAACATAAGGCTTCCGGCTCTCTAAGCAATGATAATACTCCTCGAACTGAGACAGAAAAGACTAAGAAGCATAAGTCAAGTAGCTCTTCTGGTTGGATTCCTAAAGTATCTCGTTGGTCCGAGACTACCGCCTCAACTGTGTTTAAAGGCTTCCGCAACAGTGGTCGTAAGAGTGGTGGCAAGGAACCTGAACAATACAATTCACCTCCATCGGGATCGGATTCCGGACTTGGTACATATCAAACCGAACAAGAGCATACTGACCATGATCGCGAGCGTGACTATGATCATGATAAATTTCATTGAACCTGCCAGGGTTGATTCACCTGCTACCCCAAGATCGGTAAGATCACTCGCTAGGTCGGATGATAAATTACATTCCGGTTTCTCTTCAGAACAACTTCATCAGCAATTTATGGAAGGGGATGTTCCTTTAAGTCTTTTACCAGGAGTTCTGCCGGGTGTTGAAGATCCAAAATACAAGGCTCATCGAAATTCTTTGAACCTTCAACATCCACAACCTCGTCAAGGTCCTACACATCGCTATCAAACCCATCTCGAATCACAAGCTCAAAATTTTGATCAACCTCAACCCATGTCTCCTTCATCCCTTAACTGGGGTTCATCAACTAGCATTAATCGTCTACCACCTAATGCCAACCATCGTTATAGTCAAGCAACAACTAACACCGATGGAAGACTTTCACCTATTTCTGATGGTGGATATTCGGATCGTTCTGCCTCAGGTCAAGCTCCTGCTAGACCTCCTAAGGAACCAATTGTCCCCGAGAAGCCACTCAATATTCGTAATAAATCTACAAAGCCAAGTCCATTGAGTAATGAACAATTACAAGACGAGAATGAAGATAGTAATACACAATCTGCTTCGAGAAGATTAAGTGGTGCGTTGAATGCTCCGACGAGAAAACCTACTGGGCCAAGAAGTATGAGTGTGGCTAGTAAGAGTGGAGAGTTGAACAGAGATGAAACAGTTATTAGGAGGAATGTTAAGAGGAGTAAGTTGTTTGATTCAATGTGATATTGGGGAACCAATACTAATGGATTTATAGACACATTTAATGATTTTACCAGCAATCATAGTGGCGAGTCGGAAACTTTTTAAGTGTATTAAAAGATTGAGCGTGCGGAGCGTAGTGATTTCTTAGAATACCCCTGTTGCAATAACATGATAACAGACCACAATAACACAATATGAAATAGTAATAGTTTAGCGAATATTTGGGCTTGGATGAATGGATAGGTTGGAGGGTTAGTTGCGGAATGAATGAATGGATTTTTTATAGGGCGGGGGATGAGAGATGAAAGGTGGGGAAATCGGAGGTTATCTATGATGATGATGATGATAGTAGTAGTGGTGGTACAGAAAGGGGATTTTTTTCATGACGATTTGAGTTGAGCTTTACCACTCACTTTCGATGGATATGATATGATATGATACCGGTTTTTCATATTTTTGAATGTGAATGTGGCGCGGGAAAGGGGCGATTATGATGACTTTATGATGAGAAGATGAAAGATGAAAAATGGGATGGGATTATACCTCTTGGGGCGCTTTTTCCTTCTTGCGAAATGTATGTCTTTTTTGTGAGAGTGTGTGGTCTGTTAT